TAATTTTCAGGTGAGCACCGGATCACCTCACTGATCTGCAACACAACCAAACACAAGGCTTTGTTTATTTAACAATAGGACCAAGTCAAGTGTGAACAGCTACAGAAGGGCTGCCTTGACAAAACATGACAGTGACAGACGCACTGACTTACCTGACATTTCACAGCACCGCAGCAACTCCCCATTTACAAATCCCCGTCCCTTAAAACTCCTATCATGTCACTCATGTAGCTTCAGGTGAGACAGTCTTGGATATGCATAGTGAGCAGCTTATAAAAGAAAATGAACCAAATGGGTAATTTGATGTGAACTTCTTACATACTTTCTCATGAGTCCATTTAGTGTGCAGTGCATGCCAGTGCTTGTACATGTCCTTGTTTGTGTGTCAGAACAAATAGTGGAGTGTGTGAATTGAGTTGTATTGTATGTGTGTGTACATGCTGTGTGTATATTTACGTGTGAGCCTACAGAAATAACAAAGGGCACGGAATAAAAAATATCTCAATTGTTTCTCAGGGATTATCCCTCACAATGTAGGGCTTTATCAGAGGGCCTGGACTGCTGTAACAAGACACGCTTGCCCTGGGTTCGCCCAGCCAAATTCTCAGAGTTATGCCAGCAACAAATCACAGGGGGGAAATAAATGAAGAGAGCAAAGAAAAGAAACACTGGGAGTGGGGGGGACAATGGCAAAGGAGAGTAAAGAGCAGAGAGAGGGAGGAAGAGAGATGACAGGGGAAGAAAAGTGGAGTGAGAGGGAAAGTGGGAGAGAAAACAGAGTAAGAAGGAGGGCGAAATATAGAGAGAAAGGCAGAAGTTGAACAAGTTTAACTGGAGGCCATGCTTCAAACAGAGAGGTTTGTTTTCTGACAGAGATCCCTCTCAGGAGATTGAGCTGGAAAAAAGATTAATAGAGCTTGTCCAAGTTGCTCTATGATATTGCGCAACATGTGTCTCAGCAGCATATGAACAAAAGCTGCTGTGCATCATACTCTGCAGTGCCTTCCTTGACGTGGCAGTTTGCAAGTTATAGCCTAATGTAAATGATGCAACCACACCAAGCCTTTCTATTCAAACACTGATAGGCTCTCTGTCAGCAGATCTTTCATGTTTGGCTCTGTGGAGGAGAGGTGTTTGTGATTGGGTTGTTTTATTTGCTTCCTTTTATAAGATTTTCTCAGCAGGATCAGGTTGCTGTGCCCAGGCTAACCACGCTCTGTAAAGGGGAGCTGTGGTTTTGGAAATGAGAGGGAGAGTTAGGGGCTTTGATATGTGTGTAGGAGGTGTAGATGGGGTGGGGGTGTACACAGTATTGTGTGAAGCCCTTCGTATATTCATATATTCCCATGACACCTCCACTCCTAGCAAAGAATATTCTGGTATATGATTGCCATAATGTAACCGCATAGCATAATTGAATGTTTATGTATTACAGAACACACTTGGCACATCGCTATACTGTGTGTGAGCTGGGTGAAACCCAGATGAATGTGATTACTGCCTACATATTTTTCTGTATGTGTGTTGGTGTTGGTGTGCTTCCTGTGCTGGACATGTGTAGCTGTCCCTTGTGGTGGTATCCAGTCTTTGCCAGTAGGGGTTTTGGGCCTCATACTGAGCCGACTGGACGGACCAAAGTTTGTGTAACAGTCCCAGCACGATTTTCTGTTCCCTAAACTCACCTCTCTTTTTGGTCCTTGTACTCAGAGTGAGGGATTATGCTTATTACCATTTACTTGAAAGCACCCCTAGTGACTTGATGTTTTTCCTAGCTACAGTTCAATCACACAAGGTTTGGATTCAGGGTGAATGCAATGTAAAGGCCTGTGATGTTGATCTCTGCATTAATAATATAACTGGAGAAAAAAAACACTTTCAGAGTGTGAACATGATACTGTTTTCTTAAAAGGAGTCATATCTGGCTTGTATATGCTGTTTTGGTTGCGGTTGGCTTTCTACCAGGTGTATTTTGAAACTGCTGTGGAGCTATGGAGGAGCACGGAGCAGCCAGCACTATTGTTTCAGAGCTACTCAGGATTCTCGGGGTGTTGCTTTGCCTCAGTGTTGACTCCACAACTCACACGCCCTGAATAGTGCACCCAGTTTTTGTCTTCAACTTGAGTTCATAATAATGAACCATAAAAACTTTATGGGAGTTAATTTAGCCGTTCTTCTTACCTTTGAAACTCTTGAAAGAGAATGAAAGATTTGGAGGGGAGAGACAGGAAGAGAGCTGTTTATCTCTCATCACCACTCTTATGAACAGAACAAGAATTGTAATTATTTACCCTAGAAGTCCTGTTTGGACTGTTTGGAATTTAGTCCTTCATCCAGGCTGCAGAAACAGACGCACAGTGTTTGTGGGAGTGTGGGCTGTGGGACATGCATGTTCCTAGCCTTGTGTGTGTTTTCAGGCTGTCCTGCGTCATCACTGCTCTCCTCTGTTTATGCAGAAGCTCTGAGGATATGGAGAGGCATGGTCGGATATCCAAGCCTCCCACTGTCACTTGATATCTATGGAAAATGGATCAGATGATTGGACAAGCCCACTTCCACACAGTGTTTTTTCTTTTTTCATTGAGGCCCTAGCCAAGGAGTGATGAAACCTTCAAGAATGATGCAATGTTAAGCTGGTTAGACACACCAAATTGGCTAATAAGTAAATATACTTGGCTTCTCTGTCACTTCATCTACTCCCACATCCAATGCAATGATTATATTTAAGGTGGAAACTTGAAAGTATGTTTGGAAAGCACATTTTTACTTGTCTGTGCTGGTGGACTCTTGCCATCAAAGAGAGACAGGGAAGGGCAAAGGAGAGAGGGGCAGAGAGATCGAGGAAGGGGAGTAGTCAGAGTTGAAGAGATAGAGAGGGGCCCGTATTGAGTGACACAGTGTATGGTCTGTGTTTTCTCGGTGGACCAGAGAAGATGCAGTGTAAATGAAGCGTGCTGCACCATGGCAGCTTCTGCTTTATCTTTGCACTGTGCATGTGTGTGTGTGTGTGTGTGTGTATGTGAAAGAAAAATGACAGAGTACTGAGAGGCCTTTGTTCTTCCTCTGTTCTCTAATGGTTAGAATAAGTTGGGAGGACTGCCATCCTCTGTCTACGAGCTGTCTCTGAAGATAACAGGAGGAAATACGCAACACAAATGTGAACATGGATAAATACAAATGCATCCACCTTGAGTAGTGGAAAAATCCTGTCACGATACAGAACTCCTAGTGGGCTGAAGGATGTGTTTTTCTGACACATCCCTGTGCATATCTTTCAGACCACATGTATAATACATTATGTGTTTCCCCTTTTTATTCTCATTTGATCTACAATGAAATTAAAACCTTGTGGTGATCTTAAAAGCCAGGGCTATCTGTATATCTGTGAGTCTCTGACCCATAGGACAAGGGCCTCCCCTTGTGTTCCACACGCAAAACTACACTCACCAACTACTTCACTAAGAACACCCGTACACTTGCTTTTTCATGCAATTATCCAATCAGCCAATCACGAGCCAGCAGTGCAATGACTAAAATCATGCAGATATGGGTCAGGAGATTCAGTTAATGTTCACATCAAACATCAGAGTGGGGGAAAAATGTGATCTCTGTGACTTTGCAGGGCTGGTTTGAGTATTTCTGAAGCTTCTGATCTCCTTGGATTTTCACACACAACAGTCTCTAGAGTTTTTACTCAGAGCGGTGTAAAAAAACAAAAATAAAACACCCAGTGAGCAGCAGCTCCGCAGACAGAAACACCATGTTGATGCCAGAGGTCAGAGGAGAATGGCCGGACTGGTCAGGGCTGACAGAAGGGATATGGTAACTCAGACAACCACTCTTTACAACTGCGGTGAGCAGAGAAGCATCTCGAATACAGAACATCAAACCTTGAGGTGGCTGGGCCACCAAAACTGGACAGTTTAAGACTAGAAAAAGAGGCTGGTGGTGGTAGCTTGATGGTGTGGGGAATGTTTTCTTGGCACAATTCACTCGTCGTTTGAATGCCACAGCCTATCTGAGTATTGTAGATGACCATGTGTATCCCTTTATGGCCAAAAAGGCTTCTAATGGCTACTTCCAGCATGATAACTCGCCAAGCAAAAGTCATTTCAAACTGGTTTCATGAACATGACAATGAGTTCAGCGAACTTCAGTGGCCTCCTCAGTCACCATGTTTGAATCCAGTAGAACACCTCTGGGGTGTGGAGGAACAGGAGATTTGCTGCATGAATGTGCAGCTGACAAATCTGCAGAAATAATGTGATGGAATCATGTCAACATAGAGCAGAATCTAGGCGGCAGTTTCTGACATGTTGTGGAATCAATGCCACGAAGAATTGAGAGCAAAGGGAGGCCCTTCACATTATTAGTATGGTGTTTTTAATAAAGTGCTCGGTGAGGGTACATTAGAAATCCATTAGAGGTGTTGTGCTTGTTGCACATTCATAATATGAGCAATATTTCATCAGCAAGACCAGTACATACTTATATTTACTTAAGAAATTAATATGTCACTCATGATAATTTGAGTGAAAATCTGCGATGAGGGACTGAAGGACAGACGCCGAGCTAATCAAGTCCTGCGCGTTGTGTTGTTCCTCTGTTTGTTTCTTTTTTGTTTGTTTATTCAAGAAGGGAGAAAACAATATGATGATATTTACATATATATGACAGATTTCATTGGAAGACTGGTAAATGAACAAAACGGTTGGTATAGAAACAGAGGGGATTGCATTGTTTGTCTCTCTGTTTCAATAGAAGGTATGTGTGGAGTTATGTGACCACAGTAAAAAAAAAAACAATAAATGAACGAAATTGTAAAATTACACAACAGGTTACCCTTACTGTATAAATTGATTTCATAAAAAATGAAGAAAAACATCTTTTGAAACTAATATAAATCACATTATTGTAGCCCAGTTCAAGAGCAGTATAAACCTTAAGCCTGCCCCTTCCTGTATCAGTTCTCTTCCTCATTCTTTTTGTTTGTCCACACGGAAGACGCTGTCTTCACTCTGTCCTCTATCCTTCGACAAAATGACTCTTCAAATGTATGTTTTGGCTTCTGTGATAATATCATTGTGTGCCAGCACAATAGGTAAGAGATGGACCTTTGTGAGCATATATATTTCTTTCCTGTTTTTCCTTTTTTTTTGCTGGGTTTATTGTTGACTGAACACTGAGTTAATTCACTGTTTAAGTCTAATCTACTTTTTGATACTGCTTGTGTTGCCATTTAAGAATGTTTCTCTGAGGCCTAAAAAAGTTAGTTAATGATACAATGTATAATTCTCATGTTTCAAAGAATATTCTCAACGAAACACTTCCTGCTTCAACATCAAAAATGGCGATGGTTTTAACTTCGCACACGATTGCCCCGCTGGATCTGAGATATCTGCATTTTATGACAAGGTATTTTGATTAGCTTTCAAACTCTGTTATAGTTCATAGTTTGTTATACAAAATAATGTTAGCAAGGTCTTTAAGAAATAGACAGAGGGAAAGAGAAAGTGAAAGTAATCTTTTTCTTACTCGCCAACAGACTCTGATTGCTATTGCCAAGCCTGGAAAACAACTTGTATATTTGCATGAGGTGAAAAGCATGGACAACTATTCAGTTGTTACAAGAGACTGCAGAGACCTGAAAGTAAAATGCTTCATTTCTATGGTGAGTTTCCCTCATAGTATGTATATGAACTCATTCTATAGAAGTCAGACTGGCTTGTTGTGTTGTAAATATGAAATATTGACTCACAACTTTGCTTTCGCCTTTCAAGGGTCCGCTTGTGAAAGAGAACTGGGTGTTTTTTAAAATTACTGGTAAGGCAATGAGATGTTGTGAATACCTGGTTCACTAATGACCCTGATCATATACTGTATGCATACATATATATCATATATACATTATATGTACAAGTATCTCACCTCTTTACTTTTAACAGAGGAAATAAAGGATCCTGAGCCAGATTTACCATGGAGCCTCAGTGAGTGGAAGTTCATTCTGTTAATTATTCCAATGTCTCACAACATTAAAAATATAACTCAAATGAATATTTGATGATGACATGTTTGCATTTTGTCTGTGTGTCAGCTGGTGTGATAAAGCTTGTCATTGGGATCATTGGAATCATTGGGATCATTGGGATCATTGTCATTATCAGGGTGCTTGTTAGGTGTTACATTACTTGGAAAAAGGACATGAAGTGAGTTCTATTCTGTGTGTAACAACAATCAACTATTAATCTGATTTATACACGTACATAACACAGAATCTTGCATGGATTCAGAAGTGTTTGTTTTCTTGTTTCAGGGTACAGCACAGATCATCTACACTGACTTCCTGTTGTCTCAGAAAGGGGAATTCCGAGGCAGAGTTAACAGAGAAAGCAGAGATTACGTGAGTCTTTTTATGTGTGAATGTTACTTTTAAAACAGATCCCTGAAGTTCTGTTAATCTTCTACATCTTTTCTTTGTCACTGTAGCCTGGTTGACATACCTCCTGCCACTGATCTACAGGAGAGTGGTGGAAATGATCCTGAGCAAGATGACACTCTAAAAACTGTGCATGTTCACAGGTTAGGCTGCCATGAAAACAGCTATATACACACATACAACACATGGTGCTTGTCAAAACCATCAAAGTGTGTTTAAAAAAATTATAATAATAAGGAAGTCTAGACTGTTATCTGATAAAAGCTGCATTTGTCTCCATAGTGTTGATCCTAAGACTGATGGCAACAGTCCTTACACCAACGGTCTGGACCACAACTTGAACAATGAGTCAACTGAAAAGTGAGAATGAGAACTGTTGACTTTTTCTTGTGCCTGTAACCAGCTTTGCTTGAAAGATTTAGTTGAAGTGTCCCTTTAACTGGACAGGTAGTGCCATTCTTAACTGTTATTTGTTTTACAGTGGCAACATAAAAGCCCCTGATGTTAACAGAGCCATGAACAGGTAAGCTGTTGGCACTGGGTGGATTGTTGGTGTGTTTATTATCAATTCATATTATTACTATTAGATAACTATTGTATATGTCTGCTTCAGGGACTTGAGGGATGATCCAGGAGGAAGCGACGTTGTGACGTAAGTCTGTTATCTAACAGTTTAAATTGTGGTGGATACTATCTTGCAATAGAGTTGAAGCGATTTTTAAATTTGCACATTTTTGCATAGCTTATATAACACACTTCAAAGAGTTGCTAGACGATGTGAATTGAGAATGTGTCCTTTTGAAAATGTGTATGTTTATGTTTCTGCCTCCAAGAGGTTAATCACTTTTTTATTAGTGGTTCATTTTTAGATATTTATCATTTATTCTATAATCTAATTTATAATGTAATTACACAGGTTGTATTAACTTCTGTTACAGATGTTTGCAAAATGATAAGTAAATAAAGTGAAAAAAAATCCACAGTGATAAAACATGATTAAAGCTAGAAACATCAGATGCAGACTATCAGTGTGAGGCTGAGATGAAAATAAACTACCAATTACCAATACTAATATTAGTTTTGGTAACTTGAGCTGATGACTACAAACTGATGTCAAATTAAATCAAATCAAATTTAACTTTAATTTTTTCAAAGGTACAAAAAGGAAAAAATAAGAATCGAATGGAGATAAAACTAGACAGAAAGTTTTTCTCTGCCCATCCTCATAATAATGGCTGTGAATTCTTCTCCAGGGTCACAGACATGCACAGTGGATGTGTGTGTGATGATTTCGGTGATTGTGGTCGTGAAGATCATGAGGCAGAAGGAGAGTCGCTGTTGCCGAATGAGCGGTGAGACTGGTTCTCTGTCACTCTGCACTCATAACTGTCCCCAAAGACAAATCTCTGTTGCTTTCCAATTTCCAGTCTCCCTCATACCTTGTTTCATTTGGCCTGTAGACAGCTGTCAGGAGTAACTTTATGAACTGCTCCCCCCAACCCGCATCCCAAAGATGAAGGGCCAGTCTGAACTTTCAGAACTTGTCTGACATGTGCTCGGAAAAGTGAGCACAAACCGGGCTTTGCTGCAATTGTGCTGTTAGGTTCACGTCTCTATTCCTTGTTGATTCTGTCTCTAGAGCTAACATCCAAGGTCCTGACATGACAGGTGGAGCCGAAGCTTTTGTGAACAAGTGCGGCTTTGACCCAGACCAGGTCAGCAGGTGCTTTGCTGCACCAGTAAGTAGAAAGCTTTCCATACCTGCTTTAGTATATTTTTTTGTGTTGTTTTTCTTTTGATTTTGCTTTCCTTTTGGTTTTCTGCAGAACACTGACGTGGAGTCTACACCCAAGATGAAGAACGTTATCTAAATAAATACTAAACAATAGTAGTAATAATAATAATAATAATAATAATAATAATAATAATAATAACCTATATTATATAACCAACATTAAGTATTCTCACTATCGGTGTATTGGGTACATTTACTGGGAACTCCTTTGGGATCAAGTCAAGCAATTTTGTTTAAATGATAATTCTTTTCCCACAATGCTTTTCTCTCTTGATCAGCATGTCTTTTTTCACAGCGTTTGAAAATATATTTTTTTACAAGCCTCATTAGATGAACATTACATTTTGTAATCATTACATCAGACAATGATTACATTAACTGACAGTTATCACAATATAGCTTCATCAATCAAATGGAAGACACTGGTCTCATTAAAATAATACTAATAATAATGATGGGATTTTTTTTTTTTTTTTACTGAGAGTATTAAATGCTTGGCTTGACGAAAGGATGGGTGGACCTGTCAGAAAATGTATCCCATACACAGGTGAGACAACTTAATTAATGCACCTATACATCAGATATGATGTAATGTATGGCATAAATAAATATTTATAAAATAAACTGATATATCTTATATAAAATATTCTATATTATTAAAATGAAAATGAATAGCTTTTCTTTAGTTTTTCTGTTCTTTTTGAGTTTATTACATGTACTTTTTTTATATTTTCTAATCAATTGTAAATTGTAATGCTGCCTTTTCTCTTTTTCAACATTGACTAAAATTATTCTGTATTAGTCACTTGCTTGCATTTCACTCCGCATTTGATGCTATATTTTTTATCACTTATGAAATCAGTATCATTTCTTTTGCTTTTTAGTTAATCGATTTATATATGTAACAATTACAATATTGAGCTATTAAAAATTATTTTATGAATTCTTGCCACAAATTTTGAAGTGATTTCACTGCCTGGTCATTTTTACCTTGGTGTCTTAACTATTGAAGGCAACAGAGAACACAGAACACGGAGTGTCAGCTTTATACCACATGGGGGCAGTGAATAGTCATGAGTCCTACAATACTGAGATACATAGGCAATAACATCTCTTCTGACTTTTGTTGAGTAATGCCAATGCAATAAACACACATTTATTCCAGACTGCAATAGCTTCAAATAGCTGCAAATGTACAAAGGCCTAAAATGTACATCCTATTTTTATGTATTGTATTTTTTATGGTCAAACACTGTGGGTGGAGCTACATATTCTTTGGGTTCAATAAATGATTATAGTGCTGTTGAGTAGCTATTGGTCTATGCAATCAGTGTGTGTGTTTGGGTTGATAGCTTTATTTCCTAGTATAGTTATTGCTCTGATTTATGAATCAACCAATAAAGGAACAGTAAGTACATCACATATCATTTGATAATTTAAGTGTTTTTTGCTGTATGTTATAGCACTTAAAAGATTTGTTGCCCCTGTGGCTTGATGTATGGTAGTAATTACAGTAACACACAAACACTCAGGGGTTCAGGCTGAATTTAATACATCTATTTCCTCTATCTCTCGGGATCTGCTGAGAGTTGCTGTGAGTCTTGGTTTGTCGATGTCTGATTCTATTTTAAGCTTCCCTAAATGTGCAATGACCTTGAAAAAGACACTTTTTTTTACCCCTCAGATGGACTGAGAGCCGGAGAGTGACTGTGTCAGGGGTTAGAGGCTTGGTTGCTCATGTTTGCTATGTCAGTGTGTGAAAGTGTTACTGCAGCACCGGTGGAAAGAGGGTGATTGAATGGTCAAGGCCTCTGAGCCTCCCCTCTCGGGGAGTTTCACTGAAGGGACATGAGGGAGGGATGCAGGGGCTAGGAGGATTGGTGGATGGGTAGTGCGGGGGTGAGGGGTGGGGGTGGGGGGTAGGGTGGGGGTGGATCATCACATGTCATCATACATGTACAGCATACAGCAGGACATGAAAAAAAATGAATAAAAGGGAAGAGGCAAAGTTTCAGCAAGGCCGCAATTACGCATGAATACTCCATGCTCTGATGCACATAATAATAAGATATTGACTAATTAGTTACCAATCACACTCCATTGTGAGCGGGATTATGAGCAGTCAAGGGAACAAAAATCAGCGGGAGCTGAACTCTGATCATACCACATCAGGGATAAGGAAGGCTTAAGGGAAGCTATGGGCCGCAGTTTCAACACTTAGGTTTGTTATCTCTAACTGATCACTATGTTTATGCTTACTCTGGAGTGTACTATAGGTCGCCTACTGTTGTGTGCTGCTAGGGCTTAATAGGCAGCTGCAAGCAAACAGTGTTTCATTCAGAAGTCAGTAAGCTGTACTCACACTGCAGTTATTAAAAGATTACATCAGGGATCACACCACACCGTATGATTAATTAACCTTGACTGATGCTTTGTAAAGCTGAATCCAGCTGAGCGAGTATGCCCACAGGTCGGCATGTACATACACATACATATGAGATGGTTGAAAGCATTACTGTAGCTGGGCTCTCTAATACTGACTCAGGGTTACTGTAGTGAAACAAAGCCTTGCTTTCTCCAGATTAGTATGGGACCAGTCCTCCCATCCTCCCTGGCACGTGATGCTCTTATTAGTCCCTGTCCAAACACTAAGAGTTTTGGGGCTCTGGGTATTGTCTCCTAAACTGACAGCTTGCTTTATTTCTGCATCTCTTTGATCACCTTGTGTAGTATGCTTTGGACACAGGCCAGTGTTTGGCAGAATCATCATCCCAACCACTGGGTCAAATCTGCATATGCATACAGTGTATGGTTCAAAGGGGAGCTGACTCAGGAAGGTGCTGGGTGACTTGGCTTCAGTCCCCTGCTTCCCATGGTACACAGATGAGCAACACAATGCTGTCGTAACCTGCAGGACAGCCCATGAATAAAACATAGCCACCGTATTAGTGCTTAAACATGTCTTTTCATTTCCAGTTTGAATCATGGGGTATAATGAAGCTTATGGCACTGCAAAAGATTAATAATTCCTGTGTGCTGTTATGCTTTTATCACACTGGCACATGCACAAACACATAAGTAATTATGCTGTGCATCAGCGCACAACCATACGTACGCACACACACAACTGAGCCCCTTTGAGATGTTTGTAGAGAAATCCTGAAGCATGAACGGAGTATATTTTCAATAGTTTTTTATTAATATGTGCTGATACAAGGTCGCTCTGACCTGCAATGACGCAAACACTCACAGAAAATCATCCCCTTTGGCCCAGACAGCTGTCAAAGCAATGACCATGAGAAAAAAACAAAAATCAAATAAAGCAAATGAACATCATTGCTCAAAAAAAAAAAAAAAAAACAGAAACAGAATCAAGGAGTTATTATTAAACTCAGTTTACAAATGTCTCAGCGGTACATGATAAATTATCCATTTCATAGAAAAGTCACAGAAAGCTCTGTAAATGGTGCTATATGTAGAACCCCACATGGCACAATGTCAGTTCTCATTGTTCCTACCAATGCCTACATCCTGCTATGTAAAACCACTAGCACCCAATAATATAATCCCATAAATATGAGCATGTCGGGGATGTCCAATACTGACCAGGTTCTGCTGTAACGAGCTCATTAATACAGCCCTTTGCTGATTCTCAGAATATCCCATTCGCACCAGCTGTAGCCAGCTATTCTACCTCTGACGACAGACGCACACCCTGTGGGGCTGCGTTTTTTTTCTGGCAGGCCTGTGGATGATCATGGGATGGAGATCACTATAGCCATGGACAAGCACATGCAGGCACAGTTCAGCTCCTCCCCACTCTAAGAGACAGTGCACTCAGCGGAGATAAAGGACGAAATAGAAAAAAAAAAAATCATGCCTACAGATTCAGCTTGCTCCTGCTGTGGACAGATGTTCATATGTAAAAAGCTGATCCACATCTGCAGTGTATAAAACTACTGAACCTGACTGAATAAGTGTATTGTACATATGTCTGTGTGTCAAAGGATATGTTTGTTTTGGTTTTGGACCTCGGGGTCTCTATGTAGAATGGGCCTCACATCTTCAGCTTTGCATTGAGAACCCCATTCTACCTAAAAGCCCCTCTTGTTGTTGGTCCCACCCTGTGCATCAAAGATGGCCGCTGGCCTGAATCGCTGGCACAGCTCCCCATTCATATTCAAGACAAAAAGAGAGAAACAGCACAATCCTCATCTCTGGGTTTATGCCATACCCCTACATATTCTTAAAACTACTCTATAAGTACTGTATAGTAGTCATGTGGATACGTAACAAGAGACCAATAATAAAATAGTACTACTTTATCATTGTTTACATTTGCTTTTTAAAAATCTCTATAGGAAAATCCTGTCGCATTACTTAGAACTCCAAAAATCTTGCTTTAATCAGCTGACGCGGCAGTGGATTCATATTCACATTTTTTTTTAAAGGAAGCATCCATTAGACCGAACAACAATCACATCATGTTTCTTCCTCGACAGGCCGATCTGTTTTATTCTATGAGCGAACACGAGAGCCGACATACCAGGTTGATCAAGTTAAACCACAGAGTGATAACCTCTGGGCTGCAAACCACCAACAGCCATGTGAGACAAAGCAGCACATCCATCTCCTTATCTCCACATCCAACCCTGCACAGGCTCACTGCAAACCCGCCTGACCAGCCGCCCTCCCGCTCCCACCGCCTTTGGCTATGAATTTGTGACATCTGTGACATCTCTGCTGATGTTGTCCCCGCTCCGTCCCCTCTTGGGCCAGTCTTTGCAGACATAATGACCCTCTGCTTCTCTGCTGCTGTTGAACACCCTCCTCCCCCCACCCACAACTGCCCTCCTGGTGTGATATAGGCCACACAAATCGCTGGAAAAAATAATAAATAAAAAAAAAGTGTGTGAAAGGGTCAACTGCAAGAGAAAGGACAGTAGGCCTGCTGGGACCTCTGCTGTCTAATGATAGACTGAACAATGCCACAGCTCACTTTCCACTGACACTAAGCTGCAGGGGTGAAACAGCACTGTGTCAGAGGTTGGGCGTCCCACCTTTTAAACAACTTCGCTCCTAACCACTGAAGCACACGCATGCCAGGCTTGCCACCAGCATGGAATGGGAATTGTGTTAAACATTTGCAGACCAAGAAGGAAAAAGAGAGCAGGGAAGCGAGTGAGGGTGAGTTCACTGCAGTAAATGAGTACCCACGGTGTTATTCTTATAATCAGAGGTTTGGAGGGCTTTGAACGGTGGAGAAACTCCCGTTATGTGAGCCTCCGTCCGACAGCGTGGGCCCCAGACCTTCCTACTGTATAATCACTATCATTTACCACAGTACAGCACTCCTCTGTTTATTGAGATATTAATCTGGGGTAAACAAAGCTTTTGACAAAACAAATTAACACTCTCAAAGAAGTGCAGCACTAATGGAGTCCATTGAGATTGATATTAAAATGTGGATGAGATGGGAGGGGGGTTGGGGGGGTTGGGGCTGGAAAAAAAAGAAGAGAAGCAGGCCCAAGGTGACGCACATTCGTCCTCTCATGGGGGGTGCCTGTCTAAACAGTGTTTCTCCCCGGGGCAGGTCCCAGCTGAGCACTAGAGATCAGCATCAGCACATTATGTCAAATGCAGTGACGGAGGGACGGAGTTAATGGTGATGGTGATGAGAATGATGAGGATAAAGATGATGATGGCCGTCTTGTGTTTCCCATTAACACTTCCACCCTGGAGTGAATTGTTTTATCTTGTGTCCTGCTTGTTAAAATACATTCAGTTGTCCTCAGTTGACCAGTGAGTGCTGTCTCAGTACGGTGCCCGACAACTGAGCCATGAGATCCGTGCGTCACATTGTCCAGCACTGCAGCAGAGCAGAATACATATGCATACTGTCTTTTCATTTGTAAACACAGACAGCTCCCAGGTTCAGGTCCACATCCAAGTCATATACCATCAAACCAGTATTGCACATGTTCCCCCTATGGCTCAAGAGATGATACAAGGGCCTTCTTTCTGAGCCGCGTTGCACTCCGTGGCCCATATAATGTTACACAAATGATTTGAATAACAAGAATAAATGGCGGCAAATCCTTGTAATCCCTCTCCCTTATCTGTCTTTAACCCTCTCTCTCTTCCAGCCCCAGGAGCCACAGCTAAAAGCTGTCCTTTGGGTCCTCTTAGAAGTGGGACAGTCAGGCCGTAGCCAAATGTCACACTGCAGAGGATGCATCTATTTTCTGCTCACGTTCCGTCTACTTGCCACACTCTTTCATTTGCCGCAGGTTTATGAGGGAGGAAGTCCCAAAAAAACAAAAAAACAAAAACAATGCCATGAATAAATCAATGTGAATAAATATTCCAAAAACATACATTAAAACTGATAAATAAACCATAACAAATACCTATAAATAAACCGTATAAGAAGGCAAACTCTCAGTTTAGTGAAGGTCAGACAGATTTCAGCTGGATGAAAGGAGCTTCATGAGCAGCTCTCTCTTGACAGCTAATTTCTCAAATGTATCGCTTGCATAAGGTGGCATATTGGAAACATGTTTCACCCGATCGGTCAACCCTGCTTGTTATTTTCATAGTATGTGGGTATCTCATGTCTCTGGAGGCGGTCTGATTTCTCCTGTCCTCCTCGTACCTGAACGCCACGACAAGAGCAACTTCCATTTGAGGCGGAGAAGTAATGGCAGCACTCGGAAATACGTACCCCCACCCCTGCCCGTTTAACTGATGTGCATTCAAGTCACGTCACAAAAAAATAGCCTTTCAAATGTGTGTGCACATACAAAAGTCTGGTGCACGGCACACGCACACACACACACGCACACACACACTCATCACTGGACACACATTAACAGCCATACAGACACACTCATACTTACACACATGCACACAGGAAATTAATGAATTGTCACATTAGGCGCTGGAGTAATGCTGAAACTATCTTCAAGAAACAGCAAAATGCAATATTCTCTGATAGCAAAACAAATGTCATTATCATACATGCTAAAACCCATGTTGTTAAAAGTATGTAATCTGGTTATATCTTCCAAATAATACAAGAACAAACCGAATCACTTCATGGATGTTGTCGTTCTCCCACAATGCCTTATCGTGCCTGTGAGGCACAGCATGACATTTGACGACATCTATCTTGCTTGGCCCACACCTCCCGCCCCCACCACACGCACCACCACCACCACCTCCCCCTGCTGCCCTCGGCAATTCCACCCTGGGAATGTCAAAGGCCAAACATTAACAACATGTAATGGATTATATTACATAAAAACTGTGCCGGGATTTTTTTTTTTTTTTGTTCCATTTTTCATTTGTATAAATAAAAATCTACTACACATTATAATCTCTCTCTCTGTGGCTTTCTCTCTCCATTGGATCACTAAGGAATTTCACTGAATGGCACAGTGCTGGGGCACAGAAGAGCGAGAGATCAAGCATCGGGGGAGAGAGATAGAGCGTATCATTCAGGTCACAAACTCCAAAACATTTTATTTTTTTCTTTCGGCTGTTTGTTGCAGTACAAGAAGTCATTTTTCATAGTATTTGTTACTTTTTGTTGCTTTTGATCATCTGGTGTCTCTATTTACATAGCAGGAATAAAGTAGATTCATGTGTGGTTCTTATTTACACGGTTATACCAATTGGTCGACCGGTGTGTTTGCGACGTTTACAGTCTTGGTTGTCACAGCCACACGCAGGAAACAAGTCCACTTCAACTGGCTAGGCTCTAACAGCAAAGTACAGGGGGAGGGGGGCGGTGACACCAGTCTGCTCCCGCAGCCCCCGCCCCCCAGAGGATGCAGACCCAAAGTCAACAAATTGAATACTCTCTTCAAAAACAATAGCAAGGCAGTCATTTAACTTTTCAAATGCCTAAAGCAAACAACCAGAGAGAACAGTGGAGAGGATTGGCCAGTCTTATGTGTGCAGGTTCTCCTGCTCTGGAAGGGTGGTGCAACGCCTCCTCAGTCTCCGTCTCTGCCTCTACTCCACTTCTGTACATCGTTGTTGATTCATCACAAGAGAATATGAAGGCAACTACACTGAATCAGCTCCCACTGCCTGCTTGGAACAAAAGCTCTTGCTCCGTTTGACTTAGATGGAGCACTGTTTTCACTTTTGATGTTCGGTAATGAGCACTTCTGGATGAGTGAGTGTGTGTGTGTGTGTGTGTGTGTGTGTGTGTGTGTGTGTGTGTGTTTGCCTTGTGAATGTTCTAGTTTTTTTTTCTGGCTCAATAAAAGATATTTTTGGCAACAATGAAGAGCTTTCTGTGAGACATTTTTTAGGTTATAATAGTGTACTATATTCCCTGTCTCCACAGCTAACTACTCCTATCAAATCATGACTCAAAAAAGACCTATGGATGGTAAGAAAGGGAAATGAGATAAAATATAAAATGATATTCCCATCTCCGGAGGCAGGTCTGAAGAGAAATTACATAAAAAACTTTAACAAAGTTTTAGAGTTTTGAAATATTTGAAGGTAAAGGGGGTGGATTGGTACATTCAGAGTGCTGGACTTGGCCTTAGGGTACCAAAAGAACTGGGGAGGACTGGGGTTGGAGAGAGCAGATGAATGCTCTGCAGAAAAACACCCATCGCTCATCTCCATAAGACAGAGGAGGGTTAAAGATAAAGGCTGCTCCTGCAGAGTCAGCCACGACTTCCCCTGAAGGTCACTCTGTTTGCTCATCTGTTAGTTAAATAAATGTCAAGAGAAAGAAAGGCAACCAAACAAGCAGAAAGTGGAGAGATGTGAGAACGAGGCGGGCTAGGAGGCGGTTCTGGCCATCACATTAGTCCCCAACTTCCTCCTTCAGGCTCCAGTCACAGGCTGGTGACCAGCTGCATTTGTCCGTCTCCCTCATTGTGGGCAGGCTCCTGAGCCTGGTGTCCCTCCCCACTCGGTCTCCGGGGTGGGGCCTGGTAGAAGGTCTGCATGGGGGCCCCACGAGAGCCGAGGGCAGGCCTCCCGGAGCTGTAGTACAGCTCCTCAGGGGGCTGGGCCGAGCGGGGCACCACCTCCAGGGGCTCAGGACTGCTGTCAGGGTAGGGTGAGTCTCGCAGGTTGGTGATGCTGGTGTACAGGGAGTCACGGGCAGGGGAGTCTGGCGCTCTGCTGCCTCCCTGCCCCCCAGCACTCTGGCCACTGTGGCCACTGTGGCCCAGGCTCTCGGTGAGGTCGGCCGTATAGCTCTCCGACTCCTCTGGATCGCTCTGGTAGAGGACAGACTGGGCGCGCTGCAACAGCAGGGGCTCCTCCAGAGCTTTATAAAGTAGCTCCACATCCTGCGGGGTGCGCTGCCGTCCGTCTCTCAGAAAGTCCTCATCTTCATCTATGCTCATAGACGGCTCTGGCCCGGCACCCACTGTCCCCCGACCAACCCCACCGTGAGGACGTCCCCTGGCCAGGCTGCCACACACCCTGTCCCCTACTTCACCCCCACCTCCTCCACTTCCTCCTCCAACACCACCTCTCAGGTTGTTGTGCACAAGCTCCGAGATGATCATTTTCTCAAAGGCCGCGGCGTCAGAGAGGTTTCGTCGAATGCCGCCGCCGCCCAGCGCCTCTGAGCTGCGGGGATTGAGGAGGGGCGGGGGACTGTCTCCACCCCCGCTACCTAGGAAGTCACAGCTGCCCCCACCTCCACCCCCTGGGCCACTGCGCAGGGAGTAGCTGTTGTTGAAGTTACCATTCAAGGGCAGGGTTTCCATCCCACAGGGGTCGCGGGCCTTAGATAACGTGCTCTCTGGACCCAAACACAAACAGAAGAGAGACAGAAGACTGAGGGGTTTGCCGCTGTTACACAGACAGATTCAAATGTCAGTAAGAGAAAAAGAATAAATATGAAATGGTAAAATGTAACCTGACAACAATGTGAACTGAGGTGTATTACACTCACTTGGGTCGCGGAAGGTTCCTGTGCATCCCAGAGAAAGTCGTGCGGAGTGAATAAAATGAAAGACACTAGTCAGTAAGTGTTCTTTAATGATGCAACATTAACTTGATGTATTAGTTTTAAAGACATTTCAAAAGGGAACCATTAAGGGAATAAAAAATATCCCTGTCCATTCGCCTCCCTTCTCCTCTCTCCCTCTCTCTCTCACATCCAACCTCCAGACTCTTACCACACGCACAAAAACGCATGCACAGTCACATTAATTTGGATTTATGCAAACTTAGTCCTGTTTGTCTGACACTATATTCCTCCAACATTAACATCTAAGCAAATGCTCTGGATATTTATTTACTACTGCCGGTGACACCTAGATACATACATTATTCATGCAATACCTTGTACAGTAGCAGTAATGTTTATTTTACGAGTTTCCTTCAACACACCAAAGATGTACTTTTTCTCCCAAATTACCATCACACAGCAAAGCAAAAGCCACAGCCGCCCAAAAAGTGAGAAGCATGTTCATTTTTAATATTTAATGTGTAGTGTGACTTTAATCAACGCTCTTATTCGTTGGTGGTGTGGGTAATTAGACATTCTAATGAAGTGCTCTCCCTACTTCCTCTCCCACTCTCTGCTAAAAATGTCTTGGCTGCCAGGCCTGTGGCCATCAGGCTTGACGTATTGTGCGGAGAGGATTTAAAATATTTAACAGAAACGCTGACTTAAATTTCAGTCCTCAGACACTAGGCCTGATACACTCAGCCAGAGACCAGCCACACGCAGTCATAGCTCTCCCTTACCAAGTGAATACTGGTGCTGTAGAGGAGCAATTACCAGAACATGTCTAATTCAGCAGTTATAGGCATCCAAAGAGTGCAGGGGGAATGCAGCAATGTGATAAAACAGCTAGCAGGCTGTTTAAAGAGTCCCACTCTGAGATAAAAGCAAGCACGCACACACACACGCGGGCACTTACAGTGAGCACTCACACCTGACCGACCTACATCCAGATGGACTGTGCCTGGCCACTGAGCTAGCTGTCTGATCCCTTACTACGGCCGTCATGATTTAAGCCGACTGCTTTTTCTGCCCAGGAACAGTACAACTGTCCTCAAGATTCCTGGCAGTCACAACTGCAGCTAAAACTTCTAATCAATTTGTGGCTGTTCTCATGAAGATTCAAGATCGAACCAGATGGCTGGTTAGGCTGTAGGCACTGTTTGGCACTGTTCTGCTCAGCCTAGTGAATCTGTCTGACAGCTACATAGTCTGAAAAACAAAAAAACAAAAAAACAAAAAAAACACACAACACACAGACATGCTCACACACACATACACATGTGCAGGCACTCAAACACAGCAGTGGGTGTGTGTGTGTAACATGTCAAATTACTGACAGAGTAAGAGACAGAGGGACAGCAAGCTGAGCGCATACTGCATACACACACATGTGCTGACAAGACTGCACGCACACAGACCGGAGTGTTTACGAGGAGCTAACCGGTAGAGTTGAAGACACCGGGTGAGGGCGGGGTGAAGCTCTCAGCCAGCAGAGTGTTGTAAGGTGAGGTACCAGTGCGAGTCTGTAACACTGGGTTTGTCAAAAGGTGGTTGCCCATGGTCGCTGCAAGACACAAACATGAAAAAAAAAAATGAATAGAATCATAAACAGGCTCTTATCTTTGCCTCAAGTGTAAGTGCAAAGCAAGCACAAGCAGAAATGCTGCACACAATAGGGGCAATATTCTGAAATTCACGTTTCCAGGCTCGGTAATAACATCTGGAATCATAAAAATATTTACTGTTTATTCAGATGGGGTTATTTTTGTTGTGCCGACACTTTATGGAGTAATGCATTTCACAGTGTTCTCCTCAATGTTTATGCCTGCTGATTGTAACCTTTGAGTAAGAATACAATTGCAGGGGGAAAAGGAACTGTTTGGAGCATTGCCATACTTTTTTTTTTTTTCCCCTTTGGCTCCTGACAATGTAGTCAGATGTGGGGGAGAACAGTAATGCATGCCATTATGTAGTCTAAGGGTGCAGCCATTGAAACACACTTAATTTCACAGTGAAATGTGAATGCCACAACAAGACAAATATAATTCAAAGAAATGGCACACTGAGAATGTTGTATAATGCCCATGTATGGCTCCAGCCTGAGGCAACTCGAACAGAAATGCCATGAAATTAAAAATAGGACAGCATGACGGAGAGTAGTCCAAGGCAAAGTGCAACCTTCAGGTCTCACGCCTACCGTTCATCACATAGCAAGGGAGCAGGGAATTCTTTAAAAAAAAAAAGAATAAAATATGCACTCACACACAGCTATTTATTTGTCATATTCTGTCCTCTTACACTTCCCCTGTCCATCTTTCTGGCATGCCACACAACCCCCCCCCCCCC